TGAAAATCTCCTTCACTGGAAAAAGCGGCTCAGCTAGTGGAATTCGAAAATATCATTGCACATAGTAGCAGCAGCAATTCGACTCGAATATACGGAAATTTTATTTAAATGGAAAATGCGGTTCAGGATATCATTTGAAACTCATATACATTAAGTAAATTATTTAAATTAAGTAAATTAAGTAAATACAGTAAGTATATTATACATTAAATAAATCAGGTTTTATTGAAGATGAATAAATAAGAGCTAACCAGGCGGAACCATGTGGCCGATTAATGCTGAAGTGTTAGCACTAAACGGCATAAACTCTCCGCCGGTCAAATAACCATCTCCAGCATCGGTCGCGGCTGCGTCAGGAGGAGCAGATGGGTGAGAAACAATGATTGCAACTCGATGAAGTTCTTCGCGGCATGGATGTCCAGTGACTGAAATGGCAGGACAAGTGAGTCTACCGGCAAGGTAAAGGCGCGCTAATCGCCTCGATAGCTGGGACATAGCGGCGAGTACCCGGGGACCTCTAGCCTGACTAAGGAGGACGTTAAAAGCGGAGACAACCTGAAATATGTCAAACATAACGGATGGGATGATGTCAGCATTAGGGTTGAACCCGGTATAGGAAATACAGTTTTGGATGTATATGGAGGGAGATCAAACTTTTAGCAAATGGGCATTTATTAAGGTGAGGGAACATGTTATACAAAGGTTCGCGGCTCAGCGAGATACCAGGATAAATAATGAATGAAATAAGTTAAAATAAGTGAAATTCATATATCCGATTTAAATCTTCACATATAATTATACAAAGTAATAATAGCAATTGTTTGACCTTGTTTTCGCAACTTGGTCGTATTAAAAGGAAGACCCAGAACGCATCTTGTCCGCGGTGTATGGTATGCATGATAATATCCAGTCGCGCCGTGGACTTAGAAAACGTCTGGAAATGTATCAAGTCCAAGGTTCGATTCTGGAGATTATCATGCATACCTTATCTCATGTTCTAATTTTTCTGTCATGCCTTCCTTCAAAAGGGATAGGGGAATTAGTTGGAAACTGGGGTGAAAAAGTGTTTATAGAAACTCTTAGACTTTTTTTCTATTATGCCATCCTTTAGAGAGAAATATAACCCACTATCGAGATCCAGCTGCTGCGAGCTTGCTTGCTACTGTGGTCGATCTTATGTAGGTGAGAAATGCCGACCTATTCGACAAACATTGGGGGAACACAAAAATGCTTGTCAAAGAAGCTAGGTCGAACGATCAGAAG